CCTGTGTATTTAGTCCGAGTCTCAGTCTGTTTCCCCAGATCTGTCATCGTTGTATGGTCCGTCGTTGTCTGCACCTGTCCTTTTGCCTTTAATAAACCCTTCACCGGATCTTTTGGCTTCGTTCGCCTGCTTCCGTGCTCGCGTTCACCTCCGAAGCTGACAATTTGTGTATTATGTCTACTCTTCTGATTATAATTTGTAATTTGCTTTTTAATGTATTTATTTGGAAGTGTCATCTTATTTATTTATTTTTCCAATCTTCTACATATTTCGTGGATTTGAACATCAGAATTTGTTTTAATGAATGTAAAGCACTTTGGGCTGCATTCCTTTGTATGAAAGGTGCTATACAAATAAAGATTTATTTTTATTATTATTATTATTATTAAGTAGTGCTGTCAAACGATTAAAATTTTTAATCAGATTAATCACAGGGTTGCTGTGGATTAATTTCGACTAATCACGATTAAATATCATTCATTTTAAATCTATATTAATCACATTTCATTTTGCATGAGCAAACAGACTAAAGAAAAAAGGGAATATATATGCACTTAACATGTCTATTGAACATCTTGAACACGAGTCGGATGCATTCCATCTGTCACAGAAGTGCAATACCATGGACCCATATCAAAAACCAAGATTTTTTGCTTAGCTGGACAACTTGTCGGATTTAAGGTACCTCAGTTTAAATGGTCTTTATCTTTGTTCACTTACAATTAGCCCGAACTTCCGTAAATCCGACAAATAATCCGACTAATCATGAAATCCAGTTCTAGCCCGGTTAATTGCCATTGTTAGAAATATCAGTTGATAACACATTACGCGCGGTGCTTTACGTATAAAACTCCGTAGCAACACATCCACAGACAAGTTGGACGGTATAGCGTGTGCGACCGATTTAATGAGCCACAAATGAGAAGTAGTGCTTGAACAGTATAAAACTACAACTTTCCCTTCTGTTGATAAAAGGCGCAGCCATCTTGGGTTCTGAACTCGGGATCCTCTGTGCTGCTCCGAGATATTTCTCGGATCTCCGAGAAATACTGTTGCCAACTCTTCAGCAAGGAAAGTCGCTATTGGCTGTCCCAAAAGTCGCTAAATGACGCCATCGCCTCATTTGCATAATGTGCATGTAATTGTAATGGACGTTGTAGGAGAAAGGAATAATGTCGTGCGAGAGACAAAAAAGTGTTTTTCCACAGATACATTTAGAACTACAAATGAACTTTCTTCTGTCGATTTATATATATATATATATATATATATATATATATATAAATTGAGGGGTTAATTCTATAATAAATGTAGCTTCTGAAAATAATGCAGTTACTAACACGGGAACTGGGAGTGGGTGGGCAGGACGAGGTGACCTTACACCGAACAGTTGGAAGAAATCAGGAACTGACAGAGTGCGACTAGGTCAGGACGACCTCGTCCCTGACAACTGGAAAAACAGGAACCCATAATTTAGCCGATGCTTGTTTTAACCTTGCTTGACATGAAGGGGGAACATGTACTCACTAACTAGAGCAAATAGCAATGTACTCACGAACTCTGGCAAATGTCAAAATATGTAGAAGTCACTTAGATGGAAGAGTATCGAGAAAGGGGGGCAACACCCCAGAAGGTCTATAAAAAGATAAGAGCCGACCGCTATTTTTGAGCTTCTTCCTGTACATGCTGAATGTATGTCAGATAGTCGCTCCCTGATCAGAATAAACTGGTGACTTGCAACTACTCCTCGACTGTGCTGTGAGTCTCTTCTCATCAATGGACTCGGCGGAGGGTGACTTCAACAACTTGGGGGCTCTTCCGTCGATGAGCAGGAGATTCCCAAGATTCGGCTAAGTGTTAACGCAGCCTACTTGGATACCGAAAACTGCGGGCCCGACTAGGAGAGGTAAGCAGAGCCTGTTACGCCAAAATCTGCATATTGGATATCTCAAATTAAGCAGTTTGAAGTGTCCAGTGGCCCGTCCGTAAATTAGTACGAAGGAGCGGTTGTGGGCATCAGATTTATACAGTATGTTGTTCATGTATTGTGTCTACGTGGTGTGTATGCATTCTGTCTAGGGATTGTGTGCAGGCATCGTGTGTGAGAAAGGAGGACCTTCAGGAGCGGAGGGTGCGGGACCCCCGCAGTGAAATAGGAATTTAAGGAGCGGAGGGTATGGGACCCCCGCAGGGAAATAGGAATTTAAGGAACGGAGGGTACGGGACCCCCGTAGTGAAGTTAGACCTTAAAGAGCGGAGGGTACGGGACCCCCGCAGGAAAATAGGAATTTAAGGAACGGAGGGTACGGGACCCCCGTAGTGAAGTTAGACCTTAAAGAGTGGAGGGTACGGGACCCCCGCATTGTCCTTGGTCTGGCAACACCACTATTTGCTGACGGGCGGTAGAAAAGCTGGGTGTGAGACCCGGGGAATTCAGGACCCCCGAACTCGAGATTGGCAAGAGGGAAAAAGGTCCCCCTCTCTAAAAACTGGTGAAAAAACCCGAGCTGAAGGTCCTTAGGACAGGGTGAGAGCCCGCATATCTGGACTCTCAAAGTACTAGCCGGCGCACAGTGGTGCGGATTTGTGTGCGTGATCAGGGTTGTGAGCTCTTCCTGCCTTGGGTGCTTATCATTCGCTCTCTGTTGGTTGAACTTGCCCGTGGCTCTGTGGTCACTGCTTGCGGTCTTACAGTTTGTCAGAACCGAAAGGGAGTTCTCAGCAATTGGACGCCCAAAAGCGCATCAGCCCGGCTGCACCCGCTGACTCATTAAGGTCAGGGCCGACAGGTAACTCAGGCAGTCATTACAACTTTTGAGCAGGACTTCGCCCAGGGTCAGTTCTGAGAAAGGCCCTAGCTTGGACTCTCACTAGGGTGAGTGACCCCTGAAGGCTATTTTGCTGGCCTTGGTCGAGTCAGAACACCGGTAGTGCGACCGATAAGCTGACGCCCACCTGGGTTGTTTCAGTTGTGCGTACAGAACACCCCCTTCCAAGTTGGCATTGCTGGGGATCGGGGGAATCGGGGGAATGGCGGCCGGGAGCAGGCCTGTTTGGCTGGGATTGAGCTTGTGGGACGTGCCTTTTTCAGGGGGAACACGACCGTGATTACGGGACTGTGCACGGGCACTAGAGCAGTCAGCGTTCTTTGACAGAATACTGAGGAAACAAGCTGAGGAGTTTGGAGGGGGGGGGTGCACTAAGCCCACCGCCTTGGGGGGAGAGCTAAGTCTAAGTGGCCGGAAGCCAAAGAATGTCGAGGTGAGGGGGCAAATATTAGGGACGTGTGAGGGAGAAGAGGAAGCAGAGGTGGATCTACTGTTACAGGGATTTGATGACGAACGCTTAGAGGAGCCACTGATAAAAGGACTCAGTGATAACTACACAGAGGGGGTGCAGGCCCAGTCTAAAAATAGATACGGCCTGCGCTCCAAAAGACCCAAGCAGCTCCCCTTAATACAGGGAGCACAGGATGGGACAGAGAGATACAAACCTTTTTCTATAGGATAAAATGCCTCCTCCGGCTGAGGGAGGGGGGCAGTGGATGGACAAGTTAGATCAACTTACTCACGGCATGACGCTGGCCCTAGGAGATTACAGTGCATGACTAAGCATTCCCTGCGGGACACAGAAGACAGAGCAGGGACTCTCGCACTTGACGACAAGTTGACGCACTTGACGCGGCAGGGGATGCCCTCCTAGAGCCCAGGTGATGGCACCCAACCCACAAGCGGTTCCCACGGCAGGACAGTACCCGGTGATGGACGAGGGGGAGTGGGACTGGTACCCCTCCCCACAGTGACGGTGCCTACGAGCGGCCCGGGAGGCAGGGGAGGCAGACCCTATGCTCTCCCTCATGGTCATGGATGAAGAACTGTCATTTCTGGTAGACACGGGAGCCACGTATTCCACTCTTAACGTGGCCCCTGAACAACATAACCTGTATACCTCAACAGTGATCGTTGTGGGCTTCTCGGGGGAGGAACAGAGCCTGGCAGTGACTAAGCCGGTGAAGGTTGCGGTGGGGAGACAGACCTTCCTCCACCCTTTTGTTGTGTCTTCTTCAGTTCCAGTGAACCTCCTGGGACGGGACATGCTGGTGAAGCTGGGGGCCTCAATCTTGTGCAGTGCAGATGGACTGGTGGTTACCCTGCCGGAAGGCACTCGCCTGCGGTGTGACGCCCAGACTATGTGGGCGGGACAATGGCTGGTGCAGCCCATCCAGAGTCAGGCCCTGGCGGATATCTATTGGGGCCTGCTGGAACCCAGCCTGACTGGCCTCCTGGCGGCCTACTCAGCGTGGCGACCCTGGATCTCGCTCCTAGAGCCCTATGTGCCCCCACCTGACCCTCCTCATGTAACCCTTTTCTATGATAGGGAAAGTACCGAATGGTATGAGGAACTGTTTACTGAGCAACTGGAAGGCCAACAGTGGCAATTTGCCTCTGAGAACATATATGTGGGTCCCGACGGGGTAGCCTCAGCCACACTGCTGACCTCAGAACAGCTGCCCTGGTACATTATGGGACAGGAAGCTGTCCCACATGTTTCTCTGGCCCTCCATCCCAAACACCAGGCCAAAGATTTGGGCCCGATGGTGAAACGGGCCAGAGAAACTCAGGACTGGGTACAGACCCAGATCCCACAGGTCTCCTTCTCACCCTCCTGCAGTACCTATCGCATACAGGTCGCAGCACAGGACACAGCCCTCCTGCAACATGAGCAGATAGCTAGGGACCACGGGCGTGAAAAGATGGACCACCCAAAGGCGGCGGCCCTTCTGGCGTCTCTGCCAGACTCACTGTGGTCTACCAGCCCCACAGATGTAGGTCTAATACCTTGTACACCAGTGCAGTTCCAACTTCAGCCAGGGGAGGGCCCCCTCTGGCTCAGACAGTATCCACATAAGCAGGCAGCAGAGGAAGGGATAGCCGAGACTATAGACGGCCTCCTACAGGCCGGGGTGTTGGAGCCCTCCACGTCTCAGTGGAACACCCCCATCCTCCCGGTGGAGAAACCCGGGACAGGAAAATATCGAATGGCCCACGATTTGCATGCCATAAACAACCTCCTGCTGACCCCCACTGTTCCAGTCCCGAACCCATATGTTGCCCTTACTAATCTGACTCCACAGCAAAAATGGTTCACATGCATCGATTTGGCAAATGCTTTTTTCTGTCTGCCTCTGGCAGAACAGTGTAAGGACATATTCTCCTTTACTTACAAGGGCTGTCAGCTGCGGTACACCCGCCTGCCTCAAGGATTCGCCTTTTCTCCAGGGATCTTTAACCAGGTTCTAAAGCAGGCTTTGCAGGGGTGTCCTCTCCCAGATGGTGTCACCCTCGTCCAATATATAGATGACCTCCTGATCGCGGCCCCAACAGCGGAGGCGGCCCTACAAGCTACCCAGTTAGTGCTGCGCCGTCTGTCAGAAAAAGGCTTTAAGGTCAGTAAAGACAAATTGCAGATTGCTAGGACAGTGGTGTCCTTCTTAGGATGCGTGTTATCCAGTGCAGGAACAGGCCCCTCCCCAGCTCATCGTTCAGCTATCTTGCATCACTCAAAGCCAACCACAGTAAAAGACATGTTGTCCTTTTTAGGCCTCACAGGTTACAGTCGCACTTACATTCCAGATTACACGGGGCTCACACAGCCGAGAGCACGGCCTACGTCGCCTCAGTGCGTCCCTCAACTGGGACCAGGCCTCAGAAGAGGCTTTTATTACCTTAAAGCAAAGATTAGCCCAGGCCGCCGACCTAGCCCTCCCAGATTACTCTCTCCCGTTCCATTTGGCTGACCGTATGAGTGGGGGAGAACCACATGTATGTGAGTACCGAGTTCAGAAAGAGGAGAAAGTCAGACTAGACTTAGAAGCAGAAAAGATAGAAGGGACTGAGGACTGGTTCACAGATGGGTGTTGTTTCAGAACAGATACAGGAGGTTTGCAGGCAGGATATGCAGTGGTGGCCAGACAAGGCCAGGACTATGTGACCTTGAAGGCAGAAAGACTGGAAGGAGCCCAGTCAGCTCAAAGGGCCGAAGTACAGTAATAACAAATGGAACTCAGCCAATGACGGAGAGCAGGATTTTTGACTGCGGGAAACAAGCCAATAAAGCACGAAGCAGAGATGAAAGAGCTGGCAGAAGCCCTAATGCTTCCTAAAAAGGTAGCAGTAGTAAAATGCAAGGGCCACGAAGGGTCAGGAACCATGGTAGCAAAAGGAAACCAGGTAGCAGATGATGAAGCGAAAAGGGCCGCAGGATATCAGGTAACCAAACAGATGGTCACGGTGGAGGAGGAAGTTAAGCTGAGCGATAGACTAACCCTAGAGAAAGTGAAGCAAGAACAGGACAAAGCCTCTCCAGAGGAGAAAACCATGTGGATTGAAAAAGGGGGGTACCAGGAGGGGGGGCTGTGGCAGAAGAAGAAAGGGAAACCAGCACTTCCCCCTGGTATTCGCCAGACAATCCTAGCAGAAGCTCATGGGGTTGGTCACACAGGGGTGAGACAGATGCTAGAGAACTTAACTGTGTGGTGGCATCCGTTTATGAAAGAAATGGTGCAGGGACACGTCCATGGTTGTGCGACCTGTACCTTTCATAACTCGCGACCCACAGTCAAGCCTGAAAAAAGGGCAGTTTCCAACATGCACAAGGTCAGGGGAAGAAATCATCATAGATTACACAGACATGCTTATTCCAGTAAAAGGATTCAGGTATGTGCTGATGTATGTGGATGCATTCTCAGGATGGCCAGAAGCATGGCCCACAAAAAAGGAGGATGCGGCATCCGTGATAAAGTTTTTGATCAATCAGCATATACACGGGTTTCCTGACAAGATTTGGTCGGACAATGGGACCCACTTTAAGAATGCAGACCTCCAGACGGTGGAGAAAGCGTTGGGACTGAGGCATGCGTTCGGGACTGTGTATCATCCCCAGTCCCAGGGAAAAGTGGAGCGAATGAACCAAACAATAAAACAAAAATTGGCAAAAATCTGTGCACAGACCAAAATGAATTGGGTTGACGCTTTACCGCTGGCACTGATGTCAGTGAGGTGTTCCATACACAGGGGGACCGGGTTCACCCCCTTCAAGCTCCAGACAGGCAGGCAGTTCCCAGGACCCCAGAGAGGGTTATCCTGGACCCCCGATAAAAAGGGGGAGCAAAATCCTAGGGCATATTATGATGATTTGCAAGTTCTCGTTGCAGATTTCTCTAAACAGATCCAGGAAACGAGACCGGAGAATCAGCCACCCGAACCGCACACAGCGGAGTGGGTCCTCCTGAAGGTCATCAAGCGGAAGTGGTCAGAGCCCAGGTGGACCGGCCCCTTCCAGGTTACTGAGAGGACGTCACACGCAGTTCGTCTGAAAGGCAAAGGTGACACGTGGTTCCACTGGAGCCAGTGTGTGGCTGAACAGGAGCCAGGCAGAACCACAGCAGAAATCCTGAAGGCCCTCGGAGAAGACACACAGAGCGTCAGTTCGGCTGACCCCAAAGAGACACTCTGGCGGAGTTACGTTTGCTTAAGTGTACAAGTCACAGTAAACAAGTGAAACATTTTTAACCATAACATTTTTTGTATAAAATCTACATTAACAATCTACACGGACCAAAAAAGGACAATTGAAAAATACTGTCAATGGCAATGTGAGAAAATGATGCTGCGTGCGGACTGGACGCCTGTGAGTGCTTTGGGCCGGGAGAGGAGCCCACTGCAGCACCCGCTGCCCGGTGAGAAGAGTAAGGACGATCTGTGCTTTCACGTCAGAGTCTCCAAAAGTGTCCAGTAACACCAGAAAAAGTCGCTAGATTTGTCGCTAGTCGCTTTTTTGAAAACGAGTCGCTAGAGGGGTCTAAAAACTCGCTAAATATAGCGACAAAGTCGCTAAGTTGGCAACACTGCCGAGAAACGGGAGCACGCATGTCGTCACTTGCAGCTTCAAAACTCCGGAATACGACTCGGAATATGAGTTCCGAGGGCAAATGGAACGCACCAAAACTGCCCGAAATGGGTTGACAGAGAGATTTCAAGGATTTTGAGTCATTCTGCGCTGCAGATGGGTTAATTGCGTTAAAAATTTTAATCAAATTAATCATGATGATGGATTAATCCGCGTTAACCCGTTAATTTTGACAGCCCTATTATTAAGTAACTATCCCAAAGTTTTTTCCTATATAGAAAGCCAAAGTAGTTTCTCACCTGTTTCCAAAGCATCACATAATGTCACCAAATACCTGAGTGAACCATGTTTAGTTGAGGATGCCAGCCTTTCAGCGTACTGGACAGGAACCAAACCAGCTTTCCTGAGCTAGCACAACTGCAATACTGCAAATACCTATTCCAGCTTTTTCTGCACCTTTTGTGAGCGTCTTCAATGTATCAGGAACTTTTTTTGGCCAGGATGTTGCAATCTAAATGATAAAACCTTTCAAGATCATTTTCTGATTAAAAGAATAATGGGTCCGGTGCATTGGAATAAAACATAATTGCGTTTGGCGTGACATTTGGCTTCTTATTATAGTGCTAAGACAAAATTTATTGTTCTACACATAAGAAAATAAATAGAAGCAACTACAGTGGATATAAAAAGTGACACACCCCTGTTAAAATGCCAGGTAAAAACATGAGACCACGATAAATCATTTCAAAACTTATCTATGACCTGTATAGTTTAACTGAAAAACAAGCAAATCTGCTACAGTAGGAGGAAAAATATAAAAAAACGCACAAGTGTGCACACCCTTAAACTAATACTTTAGCATCTTTTGATTTAATTACAGCATTCAGTCTTTTGGGGCACACCTACTGCCCTAGTATGATTTTCCTGACATTTATTCAGTCGCATCCTACAGCAATGCATCCTGCATAAAATTGTACATAAAATTTGGCGAGCGGGGGCCCAAAGTTTACATTTTTATCTGGGGGCCCAGAATCTCAAGGTACGATAAAATATTTTCTGCAGCTGCCCTTTCCTTCTTTCACTGCTAACTGGCACTGCTGCGTCAATTTTGGTTTGATCAGTCTGTAATTTAAATAGGTTTTCTGTAAAGTGGTAGGATCTATCAAATACTTTTTGAGTTAGCTCTACTACTAAGCGTGGTCATATATCTGTAGCAATGAACACCCTTATAGTCTTAGTTATTTCTTGTCTGCTCTGAATTTCCTGGCAAAAGTACCTTAAAATGCTAGAGGAATGTTAATTTGCAGAGGCTGTTTCAGCCTTACTCCAGTTGTACACATACTTGTATGATGTCATCTTAAATGATTTAACATATTGGGTGTGTTTCCAGCAACATATCTGACTTCAGTATAACAGCCAACATACAGTGTTAGCCTTGTTAACTGCTGTCTCTTCAGTGTTGGTGTAATTTGGCTTTTTTTTAGTGATTAATTGCCATTGTTGCACAACAACAAGATGTGTCCTCTGCATTTAACAATATGTGACATAGCAGTGGGCAGCTATTATTTAGCACCCAGGGGCATTACCTTGCTCATGGTATAGCAGTACCTTGCTGGCTGGGGATTCAAACCAGCAACCTTCCACACACAAGCATGTTTCCCTAATCATGAGGCTACCACTGCCTAATGCTGTAAAACCACCGATTTAAGTGATGTGAGAGGGTCTCGCTTCACTGCTATGACTGACTAACCAGCACTAGCCATTACCAAATCACAGCCTCTATTAGCATGATGTTTTCAGTGTTGAACATCTGCTTGTGAATTCCATCCACGTCAAGAAATGTATTGAGTCATTTCATTGTGCATTCTTAACCGAAAACGGTGTAATGGAACAGCGCGCAATGAATATGTGTACTGTTACAGCCCTAGTATGTACAGGTGCATATTAAGAAGTGGCACCTTCACTCGGATGTGACGACTGGTTCAGACCTTTACTGGGATGACATCACTGTCACAGACACCTTTACTGGGCAGATCTTCAGGGCTCCAGGGTTGCTTCCATTATTATTTACACATGGAGAGAAATATGGAAACAGGGTCCCAGTGAATGTGTCTTTAAAGGTGTAGATGAGTGACATGTCAGCGGGGTTGAAGAAGGACACCTCCCCACAGTCATAGTCCAGCTGCACTCTGATCCTCTGCGGTTTCCTCTCTAGTCTGAGTCTTTTTGATTGTGAGTCGCATGCTTTATGCACATCACCATTCCTCAGAAATAGTACCCAGAATCCCTCTTCTGGTTTGCATATAATCCCCCCCTTCCTGTTAACAGATCCTTTTGCTACTCCTAGATCCCACTCAGGTTTGTCCCCCACCTCCACCTCCCAGCTGTGTTTTCCTGAGTTAAACCCCTCAGAGCCCAGTACATCTACACAGGGGTAGAATCTCTCTGGACTGTCAGGAAGTTGCTGTTTCACTCCAGTGTTTCTCACGCTGGTCAGATCATCAGACACAGAGAGCCAGGGGGCTGCAGTGTTTGGGTCCAGAGTCACAGGAGCTGTGGGTTCATAATCTCAATACCGTGAAAAACCATCAGCTGAGGTTGGAGAAAAGGTTTTGGCTTTAGGAGGAGTGAAACATGCTCAGGGGACCCCATATATAAATATCTGTAAATGCAACTTTCAATATGAATGGACATGTAATATCAGCTATATAGATGAAAATATAACTAGCTGATGTCAAACTACTTGCTACTCTAACAAGTAAAGATGCAACTAGAAACAAATTGCAGCAAATTTCAATGGAACTTTGTTTTACTTTGACATTAAAATATTTTAACCAAAATTGTATCAGTGCTGCTAGACTGAGTTCCAAATGAGTGACAGAATAATCCACTCAGATACTGCTCTCTGCTTTATACAGCCATTTCCCCCAGTCCTCACTGTACCAGTGCTGCTAGGCTGATCCCCCAGTGAGTGACAGTACAATCCACTCAGATACTGCTCTCTTCTTTATACAGCCATTTCCCCCAGTACTCACTGTACTGCACAATCCCCAGCATCTTCTCCCAGACTCTAAACCTCAAAGAGCCCAGGTGTCTGGCCACATCTATCAGCGACCCTGAAGGCAGCTCTAGGTCCTGCAGTGAGCACTGCGATCTGCAAAGAACGCGACAGGCAGGAGTCAGTGATGCTGTGGGGTTTGAAGTGAGTCAAACACACAAAAGTCATCAGTAAGTCTGCAGTGTCACTAAGTTTACTCAGCCCAGAAAACTTGCTGATTGGATTAATTAAAGTCCGATACAAGTTAGCATATATTATTACAGGTATAACCTGTTAATTCTTTAGATCATTACAAATAACACTTTACACTACAAAATATTTAATAATTATTACATACTTTTTTTTCGGATCCTTCATGGTCACCTTGTTGGATGAAAAACAAGAAAACAAATTGGATGCATTATACACAAAATGTGAAATTGTTTTACCAACTTACAATATATGGACAAAAGTATTGGGACACACCTCTTGAATCATTGAATTATTGACTTAATATGTTTCAATCAGACCTATTGCCACAGCTGTATAAAATCAAAAATCAATGTGCTGGGAGCTTCGTGGAAAGGACTTCCATGGCTGAGCAGATGCATACAAGCCTCACATCATGAACGGCAAGCGTCAGATGGAGTGGTGTAAAGCATATGCCACGAGACTCTGGAGCCGTGGAAACATGATCTGTGGAGTGACAAATCACAGTTCTCTGTATGGCAGTCTGATGGACGAGTCTGGGATTGGTAGATGTCAGGAGAACTTGACCTGTCTCACTGCATTGTGGCAACTGTAATCTTTGGAGGAGGAAGAATGGTATGGGGGCGTTTTGAGGGGTTGGGCTAGCTGCTTAGTTCCAGTTAAGGAAACTCTTAATGTTTCAGCATATCAAGACACTTTGGACAATTCTATGCTTCCAACTTTGTGGGAACAGTTTGGGGAAGGCCCTTTTCTGTTCCAGCATGATTAGTGCGCAAAGCAAGGTCCATTAAGACATGGTCAGGTGAGCTAGGTGTGGAAGAGCTTGACTGTCCTGTATAGAGCCCAGACCTCATCCCCATTGAACAGGGACGGATTATGGGTTGTGTGGGCCCCTGGGCAAAACATTCGCGAGGACCCCCCCCCCTCCTCAAAAAACAAACAAAAAAAAAAAAAAAAAAAAAAAACGCCAGCATTGTCTGGGATGGCTAGTTGC